AAGCCACTGTCACAGCTGTTTTCATGCTTCTAAAAATGCATACAATCTTTGTTTTAAATAAATGTATGTACATGTAGTAAATCAAGTATATTTGTGTACGTAAGAAATTTAAAATTTAGTTTAGCAAGAGCCAAGTCTTGTGTAACCACTAACGTGTGTGAAAAATTTAAATTAAATTCTGGTTTACCGGAAACATGCACACATAACATATGTGCCTGTGAATAATATATGTTAAAGAAGGCAAACACTGTTCTCAAATTAACCATACAACCATAGTATGTGTGTTAGTAAATAGATGCTCCAGATTTATGCGCATGCTATGCATAGATTTGGCAACTACCCATGACTTTCAGCAGCTTACATGCATTTTTCTTTTGCATAAATCGAAAACCGAACTCGTCATGTTTATTTTCAGAATGAATTTAAATACACACACATACAAGTACTTCTATATAAATATATGTCTTTATAAGGGTGGGTCGTTATTTGTCAAGTGTATTTTGATTTGCAAAGGCTTTCTTATTACCTTCAAAATTTCACATTTTTAAAAAAGTGATATTCTATCATATTTAGAATCATCAGAAGGTTTAAACTAAAATGAATAAAAAGCCTATAAGCACTGATATTTTGAAGTAAAAATTGTTCAGTTTAAAATCAGAGCTATTGCGATATCAAGACAAAATTAGGTGCAAAAATAAATATTCTAAATAAAAATATAAGGTGTGTTTGAGTCACAAGATGTCGATTTCACTCGAAACATTGTTTCGTACATGATAAAATAACACACTGAATTATTTGAATTTTTCACTTTGAAGTTTTGTGAGAAATATGTTAGTGCAAACGTTGTAGGTCTTTTTTTTTTGCTACAGATTCACCATATAGCTTTCATCTGCAGGGGTCGTGCCAAAAAGCATTAAAAATTCAACCCCGCTCCTCCCCTTCCTCTCACCGACTACAAATCGCCAAAAAAGTTATTTGTGCTTTAATTTTTCAGTAAAATTTTTGTACAGGAGTACATTTCCAACGAAACTATAAGCTTTCGAATGCATAACGATTTTTTTCATTAAATTTCCTGAATTTCGATATACTATAAAAGGAAATATTTTTCAACAAATTGGAAGCGAGATGTGAATTTCTACCGAATAATAAGGAAAATGAGGAAAGTGTATGGTAGAGTATACCCAGATATAATTWGGTACTCATACTAGATACTKCTAAGAAATTATTTTTGAGAGTAMCAACCGCAAATGGCAAAATTTTTTKTCCCCTCCCCCCCTAATASTTATGAACATCGTGATGCGCACTGGTTTTGTGCATATTTGCTGTAGTCCATATATGGTTTTGCTGTAAAAACAGATATGCTTGTGCATACTGAACAGCTGATGAGTTTATTTACTCTGCCTTCCAACGAATTCTAACTTATTTGACAAATGAAAATATGCAAAATTCTGTGGTCTCACAGAGATTGCATCAAATACTTGATAATGCTTGTTTAAAGCTAATAACATATCTACCTTGAATTGGTACGCTTTCAAAGAGATGAGTCGCTAAATTTAAAGATTTGTTAACTTTTGCGTAACAAATATAAAAGAGGTTTCAAGTAATACCAGTAAAAATCTTGTATTTCATCGTAATACTGTGTTAAAAAGCGCCGTCGTATCAAATTTATGTCAAACGAAACTCTTTATGTCAACGCACACAACGTCAAATAAAACTTAAAAAATAAAATTAAAGCGATAACCAAGGTAATACCGTTTTAGGTCTGAATACGTTTCCGCTCTTCTATGCTCTCACGTAAAATAACATAAAGAAATTAATTAAAGCTCACAATTAGGGCAATTAGTACACTACAAAAACCGCTATTATGCACACACACATACGCATGCACACAATTATACAAAAAAAGAATACAACAAATAGCAATATGAATAGGCACCCTCGTAAATTACAATTTAAAATCATGGCAACTCTGCTCGCAAAGCAACACACAGCGCCAGCGTGCGTACAAAATGTAAAGAGCGGTTAAGTAGAGACCAAAGGCTATGAGCAAAACAATTAAATGATAAAATTTTAATCTAGTTGCTTGTAAAAGGTTCTCAAAACTAAATGCAAGCGCACCGAACCGCAACACTACATACACCTAGGCTACATACGAACACAACTACATACCATGAAGACAATAGAAAGTCCAACACAGATGCACACGTGTGTGTGTGAAAGGTGCTTTTGTTGTGTTTGGAAACACAAGTTTATTGTCAGTCAACAATGTGAAAGTCAGTGACGGAGGAGAGCACGCATTTAATTGTTGTTGTTGTTACGTGCAAAAATAGGTGAACGGAGTTTTTATTCCAAAACATGTCGTCCCTAAACACATAACATAAAAAGCTGGAGTATGCAACTGAGGGAAAATAGAACGAAGAGGACATCCACACATGTTTACAAATATACGCATAGATGCAAATACCTTTACTTTTACTGGGAATAAACAGTAGAATTCATGTGTATGAAAATCTTGAAAAGTAAGCCTATTACAGAACAAAATATGTAAGTTTAAAAAATTTGTTGCGTATACGCCATGTAATACCTTTACTTAAAATTCATTTCTCGTTATACATAGTTGTAAAATATATAAGTCAAAGAAAAAAGTTATAATATTTGAATAAAATCAAGTATGCGCATCTATGCTCTATTGTATAAAAGCGTAGGCATAGGAGGGATAAGGTATTCAAATTTTTTTATACATTTCCAGGATATTGCTTCAAAATTTCAAGTCGATTGAAGTAGATTCGAGGGACTTAGTAGTAGTTTTATACCCGTCGTATGAAGGTTTTGCATGCGAAAATTCTGAAAATTATAAATTAAAACATTTCTTAGTTTTTAAAACATTGAAGCATATTCCCCAAAACTTTCGATTTGAAAGTCGGTGCTCTTTCTAACTTAAGAACTACTGCACCGATCGTTTGAAATTATAAATACCATTTCTGTAAAAATAAAAAATTCACATATTCAAGAATCTAGTTAAATGTCTGAGACAGGTAAAATTAGATTGAAGATAAAAATCTAGAAGTCTGGCTTTTTGAAGATTTTTGTCAAATTCCATAAGAGCTCCCAGAACCTTTGCGTCCCTCAATCATTTAGCATGCTATACTTAGCAGAAAATTGAGTGGCATATAAATAGAAGCCAAGAGACGTTAGGTGACGATTATGCATATGCAAAAAAGTTGAATATAGCTACAAAAAAGTCTTCATTGCAATGTATTTTGACTAGTGTCCAAAAATATATCCGATTCCGCAAACCTGAATAGAAAAATTCTAAATACTTTACGCCTATTTTACGGCAAGGCTGAATATGCGTATTGCCTAGATAATGTCATGTATTTGGTGTTATGATAAGGAGATAGAAAACCCAGACCTTGTCTCTTTTGACTACCAAGGGATCCGGTCGACGAGCTCATTGGAATATGGTCCACATATGACCCAAAAATTCAAATAAAACTTGAAGGTCCAAATCGAATGACGCATTATTGCAATGACTTTAAGAAATTACCAGCGCTAGATTTTGACTTAAGACTTATTGAGTGTAATTTGTATACATATTTAGTGGTAAAATTGCATTGCCGTTCAGGCGTGAGTGAGTCCCCAGCTTTGCCGCCTAATTAAAAGTATTTAAATCGAAAGCGAAATGTTAATTATGAAACGCTGACAACGAAGCTTCAGTTTAATGCTTGGTCAACGAACCAGTATGCACTTATATCGTATACAAAGTATGTATGTACGTTACATATATGCGTGAGGAAGTTACCCTGTCCCAGTAAATCCCAGCATAGCTACCCGCTGTGGCTGTCGGCCGCAAATTGGCAGTGACAGCAGGTGATGAAAGTACCGTGTGCCAATTAGTATTTAATTTGCAGTGAAGACACCTCCTTACACACACAAAAACACACATGCATTAAAGTGTGTTACTGCAACAGCACGAACATTAGCTGGTAGTTTTCGTAGTCCGTGCAACAAAATGTTGCTAAGATACTTGCTTATGTTGTTGCGAGTGTTGGTAATAACGCGCGAGGTGCGTAATTCCATAGTAATTGACAGTTGGCTGCAAAATTGCGTTATTGCTGCGCGCCATGCGTGAATCATTTGTATTTGTGCGTCGGCGCGCGTTCAACACAATTTATTATATCGCATTTAATGTGGCATGCAACCTGCGTGGTAATTTTATTGCTGTTGGTTGCAATTAAGAAGACACAGAATATGCATTTAAATTGAGACTGTTTATGGCATGCGCCAACAACAACAACAAAAGGTGACATGTGTGACATTCAAAAGAGTGGAGCAAGAATACAAGGTGCAATTTTTTCGAAATCTTTTCGATTTCGAAAGTTAAAAATTCCTTGAAAATTTAGTTTACGAAAGCGTTATATAAGTAGCTACAAGAGCGCATTAAACGGTATTTCAGAAGATTTTTAATACCGATTTTTACAATATACGTTAAGTCAAAGTTCCTCAGATATTTCAAGTTCGAGAAAGACCCAAGCCAATCAGTCCGACTGCTTCGTGGCGGCAAGGCAATGTGCATGCAAGTGGTAAACAAAAGTGCAGCTAGCGCCACAAGCTGTTGCCACAATCAACATTTGCGCTTATCTTCAACTTCATCGTTAAACTYAAGACTCCGGCCAACTTGAAACTTAACAGCAATGATGCTTAGAACTTCGCCGAGTTTCCACTTCACCAACTTGAACAACAGATCGACAACAGTTAGCCGACTTACTGGTCTACGGTGCTTTGCTCATAAGTGGCGTGCCACAGTGTGAAAAGCGGTCGCGCGAAAGAACAAAGCGAGGAAGAGAGCACAGACAATGCGAGCGATGTGACGAGCCGATGAGGTGACGTGCTGACGGGCGACGTGTACGCCGACGGAGAGGTAGACCAAACTGAATGATTGCCGCTATACCATAAACGCAAGATTGCACTTTGGCTGGAGCATGGCATGTGGCACTTACCTTATTGCCGCCTTCACGTACCGCATCACCTGCTGCGTCGTTGTGCATTTTGTAATTTTCATATTTTCTGTTGTTGTTTTTTTTTTGTGCTTTATTTTTTCGGCGTTGTTGGCGCCGCAAGGTAATAGCAAAAATTTCGTTAATTGAAAACTGGCGCCATTCACTCGTGCGCGCTTTCGCACCTTCATGCGCAAATACCGGCTCTTTCAAGCGGCRTAATTGACAGTTGACATTTTTGCAGCAGCGACGGCGCTATTAGCAACATTGTTGGCGGATAGCGGCAGCACTGCGCTGGCATGTTGCGGCAAATTGACAGCAACCGTACAAAAGTGTTGCAAATTGCTGCCACCGTGGCACGTTGTATGCCACACTATCACTTAGCGCTTTGAAAATTGCCCAACAAAATTTGTTCGCACTGCATTTATTAAAGTTTTGTTGTTTTATTCGGGCTGGCATATCGCTAATGGCGCCCAGCAAAATGTAAAGTGTTGCAAATTCAATGCTGCAGGCATTCGCTGATTCGTAGATTATCAATGCCGACAACGTAATGGAAAGCAATTTAGGTTGATTGTGCAATAACAATAASAACAACAACGCAATCATAAACGACAAATAAATATAATAAAAGCGCAGAGGAAGGCGCTGTTTTGTATGCGCGCCCACTGACCGTGCAACACGGTGCGTTTCACTGATTGTTTGATTGATTGATCTCTGAATGTTGCACGTACGCTTACAGGCGTTTGACATGTGCAGCAGGCTTGCTGGAATTACTTTGAAAATGATTAGCCATTAGCTTCAGTGCTGGCTATTATAGGCCAGCATTGCTTTCAGTAAGCAAGAGATGTATGAGTTTTTTATGGTACATACACACAAATAAATAAAATAATACAAGAAACAACGTTAACTTCGACTGCATCGAAGCTATATTGAACTTGACAAATACAAAGGATTCTTTACAAGCAATTTAATTGGTCTGTTTGTATGGTAGTTATATGCTATAGGCTATCGATCTGCAGAACTCTTCAGAGAATTTGCTTTTGTCTACTTTAATATGCCATGCAAATTTTCATGAATACATCTCTTCAAATGTTAAAGTTTTCCCTACAAATACTTTATTCCGATCGCTCATTTTTATGGCAGACTAGTATTATAGTGATCGGATATGTATTTATGAGGCCACAGATGTTTAATATACTTTATTCAAATAATAATAAAATAAAGCTTAGAATTGTTGGAATCTATTTAGCTGAATGATATTATGAAGATAAAAGGTTGAGGTGAAGGTTAGTGCAACATTATTTCAATGATACTTATAGTAAATTTTTATTTTTAATATTTGAAGTGAAGGCTTATTCACGGAAAAGAATGGAGAAGTTCGCCTCTATCTACTGGACGAGGACTTCTAAAAACCCTATTTTGAGTATGGTCTTATACTGGACACCAACTTATTGACAGTAATATAACTTAGAAAGTGACACGTTGAAAGTTTAAAGGTAACTATGCTAAAACTTCATTATCCCATGCGAAGTATACTTGATTTTAAGCAACCAATTCTTGAAACCTCTATTAAAAAATAGCACCGAAACAATAAAACGATTTAGCTTTAAAAGTGAAGAGACTAAGTTTAAAAGAATTGATGTTAGCGGCACTCCTCTTAATAGTCGGATGCCCGTCTAACACTATGCTTGAAACACATATTTTAACTACCCAACTGAGGCCATTTTACCACAGCCTACATGTTCCAGCCCTCGTGTCAAACCGCCTACGTTCAACTACTGGTCAAGCAAGAGTAAAACCAATCCCCAAAAACTCAAACACTCAAAAATTGTTAAGAAGAACAACAAAAAAGTGTTCAAAAGCACCATCGATAACAGCAAAAAGAACAAAAAAAAAAAAAAACTGTGGCGACACTAAAAGTTGCAGCGTGTGGCTACCAGCGGGAAGTTGCCAAATGACACTGAGTGCAGCAGCACTTAAGCTAACAACAGTGTTAGCGTTTGTAGTGGCAAGCAATCTGCAAAAAATGCTGTTTGGAATCTGTGCAGTGCCGTGCAGTGCCACGCCGTGCTTGCTTTGTTTATGTTGCGCCACATGCCAGCGGCGCTAATCTTGATCGCGTGCCAATTTCAGATTTTCAATACAATTTGCTATCAGTCGACTGTGCCGAGAGTGAAAAGCACAATCTGCGGATAGATTTGTAGTGGGCATGTATGTGTTTGCTGCAATACATTTATGTGGATGTGTATGTTTTGGCGTGTCTGTGTGCGCTCGTTCGTTTTATTTTCGGTGTAAATGTTTTATTTGCCGCATTGGCGTCGCTCCTCTTTGCTAAAACCAATTGTGGAAAATGTATTTAATGGCATTATATTCACCATTAATCAGTTTGCTTTGTATTATATATGTACAAATATGTAGAGCTGCTTAGTAGCGAAATCCAATAAATATTATTATAAGCTTCGAGTGCTATTAAAACACTTATTTAGGAATTTAATTCAAATTAATTATCTAACGAGAATAGCTTTGATTATCTTCCAATGCGAGAAAAACTCTGAGAAAGCTGTTCAGGTGTTGGTAAAACTTGAAAATTTGTTATGTGGGAATTAGGTGTGGTTGCCAATAATTTCCGTAATGTACGACAGTAATAATTGCATAACCGCAAACACCTAATTTGGTTAAAAATGCTGAGATGTGGGATCTCATCTAAAAGCAAGCTGTGTCACACTCTTTGTACAATTTTCCGTGCCTCAACTATTATAAGGATGATGGAGTGGTTATTATTTGATTTTACCCCTTTTCACAGTGTTTGAACTCAGTACTTTAGCTACTTGGT